CCCCAGATTTTCGTCCTTTGCGGGGGCGGAATGGAGAGTGGCGAAATTTTGAAACAAACTCGTCTCGGTCCGATATCTTAGGAGTGTGGACGGATGGACGGATAGACGGACAGACGGACGGACGGACAGACAGACATGGCTCAATCGACTCGGCTATTGATGCTGATCAAGAATATATATACTTTATGGGGTCGGAAACGATTCCTTCTGGACGTTACACACATCCAGTTTTACCACAAATCTAATATACCCCAATACTCATTTTGAGTATCGGGTATAAAAAGAAGCCAGCAGCAACTGCAAGAGCACACAAGCCAGACAGTTAAACAGGTACAACGACCCCTGCAGCAACTACGCCAATACAACCGCCAGCCTCAGTCACCCCCCCACATGCCCCTCCCCGTGCCACCACCCTGTCTACAGCCAATGGTGCTGCCCACAGCGTACTGCACACATTCCACCGGTATAGGGCTCCGCATCGTCGTCCGGGGTCTCCACTGCACTACCGCGACGGCCTGGCTGAACAAAGCTATGCTTGAGGCGGGATTCACTGTGACCTTCAGTAGAGTCCTGCCCAGCAGATACGAGAAACAGCCAAACTATAATCTGTTTGAGGCGGAGATTGCCCCTCAAGCAGATCGAGGGGAGCTGGGGCTGCTGGCCCTTAAGCGGCTGGGCAGCCACCTGGCGTCGGTGGAGAGTCTGGCCAAGACGAAGGTCCCGGTCCAGTGCCACCGATGCCAGGCATTTGGCCACACGCGCGCCTACTGCAGACGAGCCTTTGTTTGTATGAGGTGCGCGGGAAGTCACCCCTCTACGGCATCCCCAAAGACAAAAAATACACCTGCAAGGTGTAGCAAGCCAACCACCACAGCAACGACCAGTCACTCGACAGCAGCCACAGCAACGACCGATACGGCAGCAACAACAACAGCAGCAGAGGCCACAGAGGCACAACTATTGGGAGAAGCCCCAACTGCATCCCCAAGAGCAGCGACAACACCAATGGCAGCAGCAGCAGCAGCATCAGAAACAGGAACAGCAACAGCTCCAGCGTAGCCAGGAACAAAACGGGGAACCCCAGATCCAGGGACAGCAGCAGCGACCGGTGCTGCCTCACTACCCGCCGCAAATAAGGCTGAATGGTAAAAAGCACCGAAATCCAGCGGAGGCGCATCTCATTCGCTTCCAGAAAAGACTGGTACTGGAAAGGTCAAATGATAAACAGCCATAACAGCTAGGGCTGTTCACAGCCTGTTCACAGGCTTCTTTGTCACGGTACTCTATATAGCCGAGCGGTCCGTCGGCGACAACAGTAATCAGATTCACGTAGACAAGAATGGCCACTGCCAAGATAGGGGCATTCAGCTTCCCTTGGATCTGTTAGAATGTTGGCTATGACTGTTGGTGGACTTAAAATAGTTCGAATACTTACTTCTCCATCGATCGAAGGATAACCATTGCAACTATTAGACCACCAATGAAAAAAAATGAATCCACCGAGAAATATGCGTACAGAATAAAGTTGTAAAATGGTTCTTCAAGCCACTAGAAAATTACAAACGCCATAAAATATGATGAATAATAAAATGACTAGTGGACTGACCAACACTGTGCGTAGGGTATTTACATTCGGATTGCCTGCAGAATATCCGACTCCATGTCTAAGAACCATCCAGAACAGGGCTGTCGATAATGCGGAAGATGGCACGGGAACTTGACCGTGCCGTGATACTACCTGGTAGGCAAAATACGAGTTAAATCATTTTGTTAATCATTCCGTTCTCTCCGTTACTCACTCTGATCCTGGCACAGAAAGTAGTCGTAGAGCGTGCATAGACCCACGATAGTACCCATCAAGCCAAGAAGTACACTGCAATCCATAGTATGAGTCACAGAATTTGATTATGATACGGTCTAACTTACACTGTGACAGCTGTCTGTCACTTGTCTGACAGCTGGCCTCGCTGAATTTTATATTTGTGCTGCTTGAGTTCAACAAATTCTGCATTAACTGCTCCAGAAACGTATCCATATGTGCCGCAGAGCAGGAAGCCGGAAAGCAAGATGCGATCTTGATCGAAATGGATACGGCGGGCACGATTAGAAAACAGTACTTTCCATGTATGCTGTGACTACTGGTGATCTCCTCGCTGATCTTGACACGCTCATCGAAGTTACCCAGATGGTAGGCATTGCCGGACAGCTCTCCTGAGGGAATGGAGCCCCAAGCATCGATCACTGCTCACAAAATTCGTCAACTTCAGTTTTCATTCACTTGAATATAATTTTCATTATTTACTTACTCTTAAGGGCCCATAATTTTCCAGCAGTGAGCGCCTGCATGAACTGCGCTATGTCCGCGAAACACAGCAGATCCTCCTGACTGGGTATTCGGGGGTGGAATAGATCCAAGTCCGGGAGCGATGCATTACGGAAGTGTTCGGCAAACTTGACTCCTAGCGGGCGGAGCCTTTTTAAACGCTGGTAATCTTGCATGACATCTCCGTCTTTCAGTTGTGCGGCACTGACAAGTACCAGTCCGCAGACAAGTAGACTGCTTAAAAAGTTCACCTGAGCTCTCGAGTCGAGTATATCAGCCAAAATGCGTAATTCAGTCGAACATCACCGATAAGAAGCAATCCGTCTTAATTCTAAGTAGTCACAAGATCATTTATTTATAATCTTTCCCAGGTAATCGTTTTACTTATTGACTTTTGATGGATTAAATTTGGTTTTAATATGAGTGAGTAAGAAAAAAACGGAGAAAACAAAAGTTTAGCTAAACATGGATGTAGACAATTTGTTCTATAATTCTGATCATTGCGTGAAAAGATGATAGCCGGGGTGCAATTATTACCATTAGTGGTGGCAGATCCTTTCTTTGTTTCAATGTTTTTTCCAATTCTCATGACAACTAGCAGCAAAATGGCGAGAGTTCGTAAAGAGATTCCGCCTCCCCGCAACAACCAAATTTAAAACGAGGGGGAACGTTGTGAGTTGCTGCGGACACCACAACTCTACATTTATACCCGATACTTAGTCAGTATGGCTCTCCTCCGGCAGAGGCCGCTAATATTAAACGACACGACAAAGAGTGCATGCGAGAGAGGCAGAAAATCAGTCTGAGCGTGACGTCGGGCGCTGCGTAGCCACTGCAAATTGATTTCTTGCTTTTGGCTACAAAAATGATCCGATCTGATCCCGATTCAGCAATCTGATAGATATGGTCATTATCTATGATTCTGCGTTTTTAGTTTTCTCGAATGTGCAATATTGTGAATGCAACAGATTTTCGTTCTTTGTGGGTGCGGAAGGGGGTGGGGCGAAATTCTGAAACAAACTCGTCTCGGTCCGATATCTTAGGAGTGTGGACGGACGGACGGATAGACGGACAGACGGACGGACGGACAGACAGACATGGCTCAATCGACTCGGCTATTGATGCTGATCAAGAATATATATACTTTATGGGGTCGGAAACGATTCCTTCTGGACGTTACACACATCCAGTTTTACCACAAATCTAATATACCCCAATACTCATTTTGAGTATCGGGTATAAAAAGAAGCCAGCAGCAACTGGTGAGTTATAGTGAGATCTAACAGAAAGGCCGATAACAAATTTGGTTACTCTAGCGATAATAGTCTCTGAGATTTGTGGATTTTCGTCCTTTGCCGGGGCGGAAGGGGGTGTGCCGAAATTTGGACACGAAACGGTCAAGGTCCGATATCACAGGAGTGTGGATACCAAATTTGGTTGCTCTGGCTCTTATAGGTTCTACGATCCTTTAACTCATATTTTGCAATTGCCAAAACCGACCATGAAACCTGTGTGTTAGAGAGAGACAGAGCGAGAAAGAATGAAATTGTTTTCTTGATTCTGGCTATAATAATTATACGATCTGGTTGAGATTTTACATTCTAGAACATATAAACATCCTCTACGATTCTGCGTTTTTGGTTTTATTGTATCTTTAAAAATGTAGATGCCACAGATTTTCGTCCTTTGGGGTGAGGAAGGGGGTGAGGCGAAATTTTGAGATGTACGTTTGATAGCGAGATCTAACAGGAGTGCGTATACCAAATTTGGTTACTCTAGCGTTAATAGTCTCTGAGATTTGTGAATATCCCCAGATTTTCGTCCTTTGCGGGGGCGGAATGGAGTGTGGCGAAATTTTGAAACAAACTCGTCTCGGTCCGATATCTTAGGAGTGTGGACGGACGGACGGATAGACGGACAGACGGACGGACGGACAGACAGACATGGCTCAATCGACTCGGCTATTGATGCTGATCAAGAATATATATACTTTATGGGGTCGGAAACGATTCCTTCTGGACGTTACACACATCCAGTTTTACCACAAATCTAATATACCCCAATACTCATTTTGAGTATCGGGTATAAAAAGAAGCCAGCAGCAACTGCAAGAGCACACAAGCCAGACAGTTAAACAGGTACAACAACAGCAACGACCCCTGCAGCAACTACGCCAATACAACCGCCAGCCTCAGTCACCCCCCCACATGCCCCTCCCCGTGCCACCTCCCTGTCTACAGCCAATGGTGCTGCCCCCCAGCGTACTGCACACATTCCACCGGTAGTGCTACCAGCGATTCCGGCGATCATGCCGGTCCTGGAGAAACTGCAAAAAGATCCAAGGGTGGGATGGTTCAGCACCAGGGTAGTAGGCAGGGAGGGCCTAAAAATACAGGCACGGGATAGGGCCACCCGGGATGCAATAGTGGAGATCCTGGGAGATGAGGAGGAGGGCCTCTATTACTCATCAGAGTAAGGACGATAGAGGGCTCCGCATCGTCCTCTGGGGTCTCCACTGCACTACCGCGACGGCCTGGCTGAACAAAGCTATGCTTGAGGCCGGATTCACTGTGACCTTCAGTAGAGTCCTGCCCAGCAGATACGAGAAACAGCCAAACTATAATCTGTTTGAGGCGGAGATTGCCCCTCAAGCAGATCGAGGGGAGCTGGGAGCATCTCATTCGCTTCCAGAAAAGACTGGTACTGGAAAGGTCAAATGAGAAACAGCCATAACAGCTAGGGCTGGACCAGCACCATCAACAGCAGAAGGCTGGTTCTGGACGCTGCTGTTCGTACAGCCCTTTTCACAGGCTTCTTTGTCACGGTACTCTATATAGCCGAGCGGTCCGTCGGCGACAACAGTAATCAGATTCACGTAGACAAGAATGGCCACTGCCAAGATAGGGGCATTCAGCTTCCCTTGGATCTGTTAGAATGTTGGCTATGACTGTTGGTGGATTTAAAATAGTTCGAATACTTACTTCTCCATCGATCGAAGGACAACCATTGCAACTAGTAGACCACCAATGAAAAAAAATGAATCCACCGAGAAATATGCGTACATAAAGTTGTAAATTGGTTCTTCAAGCCACTAGAAAATTACAAACGCCATAAAATATGATGAATAATAAAATGACTAGTGGACTGACCAACACTGTGCGTAGGGTATTTATATTCGGATTGCCTGCAGAATATCCGACTCCATGTCCAAGAACCATCCAGAACAGGGACATGCAGCGGATTCCATCAAGACAACTGATCACGTTCGGATTCGATTTGCTGTCGATAATGCGGAAGATGGCACGGGAACTTGACCGTGCCGTGATACTACCTGGTAGGCAAAATACGAGTTAAATCATTTTGTTAATCATTCCGTTCTCTCCGTTACTCACTCTGATCCTGGCACAGAAAGTAGTCGTAGAGCGTGCATAGACCCACGATAGTACCCATCAAGCCAAGAAGTACACTGCAATCCATAGTATGAGTCACAGAATTTGATTATGATACGGTCTAACTTACACTGTGACAGCTGTCTGTCACTTGTCTGACAGCTGGCCTCGCTGAATTTTATATTTGTGCTGCTTGAGTTCAAAAAATTCTGCATTAACTGCTCCAGAAACGTATCCATATGTGCCGCAGAGCAGGAAGCCGGAAAGCAAGATGCGATCTTGATCGAAATGGATACGGCGGGCACGATTAGAAAATAGTACTTTCCATGTATGCTGTGACTACTGGTGATCTCCTCGCCTTTCTTGACACACTCATCGAAGTTACCCAGATGGTAGGCATTGCCGGACAGCTCTCCTGAGGGAATGGAGCCCCAAGCATCGATCACTGCTCACAAAATTCGTCAACTTCAGTTCGCATTCACTTGAATATAATTTTCATTATTTACTTACTCTTAAGGGCCCATAATTTTCCAGCAGTGAGCGCCTGCATGAACTGCGCTATGTCCGCGAAACACAGCAGATCCTCCTGACTGGGTATTCGGGGGTGGAATAGATCCAAGTCCGGGAGCGATGCATTACGGAAGTGTTCGGCAAACTTGACTCCTAGCGGGCGGAGCCTTTTTAAACGCTGGTAATCTTGCATGACATCTCCGTCTTTCAGTTGTGCGGCACTGACAAGTACCAGTCCGCAGACAAGTAGACTGCTTAAAACGTTCACCATGCTAATACTTTTTCGATTGAAGGCATTGCACCTTTCGACTGTGATTTTATATAAATGTTTTGAGGGAAATCTGGCGATAACATTATCAGTGTGTCAGCTCTCGAGTCGAGTATATCAGCCAAAATGCGTAATTAAGTCGAACATCACCGATAAGAAGCAATCCGTCTTAATTCTAAGTAGTCACAAGATCATTTATTTATAATCTTTCCCAGGTAATCGTTTTACTTATTGACTTTTGATGGATTAAATTTGGTTTTAATATGAGTGAGTAAGAAAAAAACGGAGAAAACAAAAGTTTAGCTAAACATGGATGTAGACAATTTGTTCTATAATTCTGATCATTGCGTGAAAAGATGATAGCCGGGGTGCAATTATTACCATTAGTGGTGGCAGATCCGTTCTTTGTTTCAATGTTTTTTCCAATTCTCATGACAAGTAGCAGCAAAATGGCGAGAGTTCGTAAAGAGATTTCGCCTCCCCGCAACAACCAAATTTAAAACGAGGGGGAACGTTGTGAGTTGCTGCGGACACCACAACTCTACATTTATACCCGATACTTAGTCAGTATGGCTCTCCTCCGGCAGAGGCCGCTAATATTAAACGACACGACAAAGAGTGCGTGCGAGAGAGGCAGAAAATCAGTCTGAGCGTGACGTCGGGCGCTGCGTAGCCACTGCAAATTGATTTCTTGCTTTTGGCTACAAAAATGATCCGATCTGATCCCGATTCAGCAATCTGATAGATATGGTCATTATCTATGATTCTGCGTTTTTAGTTTTCTCGAATGTGCAATATTGTGAATGCAACAGATTTTCGTTCTTTGTGGGTGCGGAAGGGGGTGGGGCGAAATTCTGAGATATACGTTTTATAGTGAGATCTAACAGAAAGGCCGATAACAAATTTGGTTACTCTAGCGATAATAGTCTCTGAGATTTGTGGATTTTCGTCCTTTGCCGGGGCGGAAGGGGGTGTGCCGAAATTTGGACACGAAACGGTCAAGGTCCGATATCACAGGAGTGTGGATACCAAATTTGGTTGCTCTGGCTCTTATAGGTTCTACGATCCTTGAACTCATATTTTGCAATTGCCAAAACCGACCATGAAACCTGTGTGTTAGAGAGAGACAGAGCGAGAAAGAATAAAATTGTTTTCTTGATTCTGGCTATAATAATTATACGATCTGGTTGAGATTTTACATTCTAGAACATATAAACATCCTCTACGATTCCGCGTTTTTGGTTTTATCGTATCTTTAAAAATGTGGATGCCACAGATTTTCGTTCTTTGCGGGGCGAAGTTTTGAAATATTTTTGTTGCGTTGTGGGTGGGGAGGGGAGACCTGAAAAGAAGGGAGAATCTGTTAGGAACACAATATCGAAGTGGGCCCTGAACTATCACTTGGAGCCGTTCATAACTGGCTCTAGGAATCATTCAGTAAAAATATCGAAAGTACAGGGAACATAAAGTAAATAAAAATACAAATACAAAACAAAGCCCATGTACGAATATTTCCTCACAGGTGCTGGAATAAGATGAATCCATCTATTAACAATCCACGATCCCCATTCACCCGTTCGCGGGGTATTTTCGGATCCATGGGATCCTTCGACTTTACCGACCAGCAGCAGCAGCAGCCGGAGCTGCAGGTCCCCCCGAAGGTTCCGGCGACAAGAATGGACTCAATGCGATGCCCTTCCTAGGCCAAATCCACACCAGTCCTCTGCTGTCCCGCCCAATGGGTCCAATAGGTCGCTCACACCGCCCCACCTTCCCTCCGATGGGGGATTCAGATGGGTGAGCTGCAGCAGCCCAGACTCCCCTTCCCCCCAGGACATAACTTACCCCCGGCTGCCCTGCAGATTCAATGCTGTGCCACAGATGGCATCGATGGGACCACCGCCCGTGTTGAGCTCCCTCTGGACAGGCGGCGCTTCTCCGGACAGCCGCGGAGACTACTACGACGGCCCGCACGAAGAGTATTCCGACGGCCGCTACGATGGCGACTACGAGGGCGACTACTTGATGCCCACCGAGGAGGACCAAGAGGAGGAGTCGTGCTCCTGTCAGAGCCAGAGCGAGTTCAGCTCGATAGAACTCTCCGAGTCGGACTCGGAGTGGGAGGAGCTCTCCGACGGCCCTTCTCCCAGGGTCTCCCCGCTGGAGTCCCTCAGCGCAGTCGTGCTCTCCACAATGCAGCCGGAGCACCGTCAGCGCATGATGGCCTTGTAGCACCTCGTCTTGGAGACCGCTGTGGTCAAGGTCGTGCTGCTGGTGCTGCAGATGCTGTGCTGCGCGGTGTTCTGGCTGGTCGAGAAGACCGTGGGCGTCAACGAAACCGTCGGCTCGACGCGCCTCCGATTGTGGAACAGCAAGTTCAAGCAGCGCACCATCCAGCGCCAGTTGCTGTGGCGCATGGCCAATGCCCGGGGCGACGAGACGTTCGTCTTCTTTGCCGTCCTCATGACCACGCCCTGGCTGTTCTCCCTCAGCCTCCTGGGATTCATCCTGTCCCTGGCGGCGCTCCTGAAGAAGACCGTCAAGGAGCTGGTGTTCCAGATACGCCTGCACCTCGTACTCTAGGGGGCAGCCATCGAGCAGAAAGCAGCAAGCAGTATCCAATCACACACTGACAGAAGACAAACGTCCACACGCCCGACACTCCACCCTTCCCCTCAGAGATGTTTGCACTTCCATTTGGGCATCTATTTTCGTTGATGCCAGAATCGCAATGCACGGAATCGTCTCTCCGTTTTTGGCCGCAATGAAAATATATGCCGAAATATTCGAAATTCAAAGTCAAATTCAAACACAAGAGTTTCCAGTCGATCAGATATATCGTTTATGCATATTACGATCCGTTCCGTTTGGACGGGAGGCCACTTGCTCATCCCTCATCCCCGTGATTGCATTTATTATTATTATTTTTATTTCGCTGCATATTTGTTCTGCAATTTATTCAATGATAAACGGAGCATGCAGCAGCAGCAAAACATTTCCGCTGCAGCAGCGATTGTGGAAGCCGTGGGGCCTTTGTTGCCCCCAATTGCAGGCCCCTGCATACGCACTTCGGAGGCACGGAATCCACCAGAAGCGGCAGCAAATGAATCATTAAATATTCACTGTACTCGTGTTGATTCAGTGATCAGTGATCAAAACAACCCAACAAAAGCGTCATCATCCACGATACACGATCCACGACCCATGATCCCTGATCCAGAATCCATAGAAGCATCCATTTTCAGGGCTCTCTGGGTGCTGGTTGGGGTACGCCTCCGATTTCAAGCCCCGATATGTAAACAGGGTCAAGACTACCTGTGCGAAGGGGGCCAAGGGAGGCGCCGGCTCTTCTTGGGATCTGATTACCGAACCGATTGCATAAGACTCGGCCCGGAAGTGGACATACTCGTGTGCAGCCCTTTCGCCCGGCTATGGATATTCCCATTTGTGATTACAGTCTGTAGCGCCACAGCAGCTCTTATAGTCTTTGAGCACTAGGCGCTAAAGGGGACGGACAGACGGACGGACGGACGGACGGACGGACAGACGGACAGACAGACAGGGCTCAATAGACTCGGCTATTGATGCTGATCAAGAATATATATACATTATGGCGTCGGAAATGATTCCTTCTGGACGTTACACACATCCACTTTTACCACAAATCTAATATACCCCAATACTCTGGCGCTTACGTATAATTACGTATAAAATATGTTCTATGTAAATAATCAACCAATTTCTTTTCGGTTTTATTTGCCGATCGTTTTCTGACATGATAATTATAGTACGAGAACGAAGAATACTATAAGTATAGACAATGGAAGAGATTACATGGAAGAGTACAATTTTTTATTAGTTGAATTTGCGAGTAAAGCGCTTGTCGAATAGTTATTTGTAAGAGCTAATGTAGCATATCACATACAACGATGGTTGTGTGTGGCGGTGCCACTCGAGCTGGTCGGGGGTGTATCGGGCAGGACTGGTGCACGCGCTGGCTCCGGCTGTATGGTCGGTATGACTATGACCGTATGACTAGTGTTAGGGGGTTGGGGAAGGAGGATGAGGAGGCTGGGGGAATTAGAAGGGACAAAGGAATTAGGGGGAAAGGGAAGCGGGCTTCCTCTATGCATATCCGAACCGACGGGTAGCTGTGCTGGTGTTGGATGCAACAGCCATGGCCCTCCCAACCTTGATCATCCTAATTCCGAAGAAAATAGGGCTTATGGATGATCCCTTTTCTCGCCGGGGGTCATACCTCACTCTCCCTCATCGATCCCTGCATGGCTCCTAAACAAAAATCTTCTAACAAATCATTTCCAAATCATTAACAATGTCAGTAATGCAACAAAGCCTTCGCGGCAGCATGCCCCTCTAGCAAACCTAGGGGGAACGAGGGGGAACGTTGTGAGTTGCTGCGGACACCGCAACTCTAAGGTTATACCCGATACTAAGTCAGTATGGCTCTCCTCCGGCAGACGCCGCTAATATTTAACGACACGACAAAGAGTGCGTGCGAGAGAGACAGAAAATCAGTCTGAGCGTGACGTCGGGCGCTGCGTAGCCACTGCAAATTGATTTGTTCCTTTTGGCTAAAAAAATGGTCTGATCTGATCCAGATTCAGCAATCTAATAGATATGGTCATTATCTATGATTCTGCGTTTTTAGTTTTCTCAAATCTGCAATATTGTGGATGCAACAGATTTTCGTCCTTTGTGGGGGCGGAGGGGGGTGGGGCGAAATTCTGAGATATACGTTTTATAGTGACATCTTAAAGGAGTGTGTGCACCAAATTTGGTTACTCTAGCCTTAATAGTCTCTGAGATTTGTGGTTGCCTCAGATTTTCGTCCTTTGCGGGGGCGGAAGGGGGTGTGGCGAAATTTGGACAGGAAACGGTCAAGGTCCGATATCACAGGAGTGTGGATACCAAATTTGGTTGCTCTGGCTTTTATAGGTTCTGAGATCCTTGAACTCATATTTTGCAATTGGCAAAACCGACCATGAAACCTGTGTGTTAGAGTGAGACAGAGCGAGAAAGAGTGAAATTGTTTTCGTGATTCTGGCTGTAATAATTATACGATCTGGTTCAGATTTTGCACTCTAGAAGATATAGTCATCTTCTACGATTCTGCGTTTTTAGTTTTCTCGTATCGTGGAAATTGTGGATGCCACAGATTTTCGCCCTTTGTGGGGGCGGAAGTGGGCGGGGCAAAGTTTTGAAATATTTTTGGAGCAGTGACATATCACAGAAGTCTGGATCCAAAACATCGTTGCTCTAGCTCTTATAGTCTTTGAGCATTAGGCGCTGAAGGGGACGGACAGACGGACAGACGGACGGACGGACAGACAGACAGGGCTCAATCGACTCGGCTATTGATGCTGATCAAGAATATATATACTTTATAGGGTCGGAAACGATTCCTTCTGGACGTTACACACATCCACTTTTACCACAAATCTAATATACCCCAATACTCATTTTGAGTATCGGGTATAAAAAGAAACCCCCCTGGTGGTCAAAACAAATAGACATCCTACGTAAAAGCTGCAGGACCCTCTTCAACAGGGCCAAAAGCGCGAACGAGGAGCGCCACTGGGCAGACTACAAAATCAGTCTGTCACTATATAAAAAGGAAACAAGGAAAGCAAATTGAGGAAACGTCTGAGGCCGCAAGGCTTCGCAAGATTCTCTCAAAAACTAACCCCTCGGTAGGGTATCTTTAAATGAATGACGGCACGTGGACTAACTCCAGTTAGGAGTCCCTGCACATTCTACTAGACACACATTTTCCAGGGTGCACAACCATCGAGACGGCACATCTTCCAGGAGAGGGACCGGTAACCTCGATGGATCACATCGTCACAAAACGTAACATAAGCTGGGCAATAAACAGCTTCAACCCGTTCAAATCGCCAGGCCCAGACCAGGTCATCCCGGCCCAACTTCAGAAGGCCGGGGATACGGCCATCAACTGGCTACAAGGTATCTTCAGGAAGATACTGGCTGTGGGTACAATCCCGCGAACATGGCTTAAGGCAAAGATAGTCTTCATTCCCAAAGCTGGGAAAGCCTCGCACTCAGCTGCAAAAGACTTTAGACCAATCAGCCTATCGTCCTTCCTCCTCAAAACCTTTGAGAGACTCGTCGGGCTGCAACTGAGGACAACTATACACCCTCAGTTGCTACAAAGTCGTGGCCTATGCGGACGACGTTGCGATTATCTTCTCGGGGAGACAGAGTGAAGAAGGCAATGACTGCACTCTATACATGCAAAAAAGCTATTGGGCTAAGATGGGGTATGATCCCAAGCATAGTCCAATGGATATATCAAGCTATAGTTAGACCAATACTACTCTACGGAGTTACGGTGTGGTGGCCGGCCCTATCAAAAAGGGCGATCACCAAGCAACTGGGCAAAGTCCAGCGGACTGCCGCCCGATGCATCAGCGGAGCTGTTCGCACCACCCCAAATGATGCGCTAAATGCCATCCTATGCCTACAGAGCCTTGACCTTGCAGGAAAGGAACGGGCAGAAGCAGCAGCAATACGTCTAAGAGACTCAGATCAATGGGTGACACAGTGCATAGGTCACTCAGCCATATTAAATAGCAGTACCGTCCCCTCAAAAACAGACTACCAAGTTCCAAGAGAGTATACAGACACTCCCTTCGACACAATCATCCCTCATAGAGACGAATGGCTCGAGGGACTCCCAGGCCCAGATGGGGCCATAAACATCTTCACGGATGGATCAAAGCTGGACGACAGAGTCGGAGGGGGAATCTACTCTGAACAGCTAAACATACGGCATTCCTTCAGACTCCCAGATCAGGGAGGCACTAGACTGCCTACAAGCGGCTGCCGTCACGGCAACCAAGCTAAACATTTATAGCGACAGCCAGGCTGCGATCAAATCGCTAAGCGCGATTTCCTCGAACTCGGCCACCGTGGCAGACTGCCGCAAATCTCTGCACGAGATGGCTCAGCAATTTGCTATTAGCCTAATTTGGGTCCCGGGCCACCGGGACATCGAGGGCAACTGTATAGCGGACGAGCTGGCCAGATCTGGCACTACAATCCCCCTTCTCCAAGACAAGGAGGATATCTGTATGCCAATGGCCACCTGTAAGCTCATTATAAGGGAGCAATACAAGCGACTAAAAAACGATATGTGGCAAACAGTGCCACGATGTCGCACAACTCGGCAAACATGGCCGACCATGGACATGAAGCGCACCTCCGAGCTCCTCAAGTTAAGCAGGAAAAGGTGCAGCGTAGTCACACGTTCCCTCACGGGACACTGGCTAATAGGCACCCACGCTAACAGGCTGGGGGCCCCACATAACGATTTTTGTCGCAGCTGTAGAGACGAGGAAGAGGAGGAGACAGTGGAACATCTGTTCTGCTCCTGCCCAGCTCTCAGCAGAAGAAGGCTACAGCACCTGGGCTCAGCCTTTCTACACGACATCTCAGAGATGTCCAAACTATGTCCCAGGAGGATAGCGAACTTTGTGAGAGCATCTGGATGGGATAATTGCTGACAGGAAGTCTCACAACGCAGGAAGGAAATGATCCTATGCGGTATCACAACGGGCCGAAACCGGCCTAAGTGTGACGGGCTCCGA